CACCTTGGCTCCATCTCTCTCTCTCTCTGTCTCTCCTGCTGAATGCTGCACTTGCTTTAGGCGACAGCTTTAAATTTGTCTTCAGTCCCACGTGGATTCATTTGTCTTTTCCCATATGAGCATTAGGAAGGCTGCTTCATTGCAGGAGGCAGACATGTTAAACTATGTGATATTTTTTATTTTCCCTTTAGAAAATGCGATGCAACCCTTTGAGAGTTGATTTAGTGTTTGGTTCTGAAATGGGGTCAAAGACGAGCCGACCATCGGGAATGCTGGGTAATTTTCTGTGAGGCGACTGGACAATTGAGCTGATTAAGCCACAGGGAGGGGAAAAAAACTTTCAAATCTATTTCATCGAGCAGCTGGCCTAAATTGTGTGGCTACAGGTCCATACTGGGTTGCTTAAATCACAACAGTTTCACATTCCTCAACTAGTTTTATGTGTGGGTTAAATGGAAAAAAATGAACACCACAGCAACATCTAGAAGTTAATCAACAAAATCTTAAATACAATTATTTTGCATTCACAGTAAAGCAATAAAAATAAACAGAGTTTTTGTATTTTTCACATGCCTTCTCTGTTCTGCTGTTTTGTGCTACTCACGAGAAAAAAAGTTTTTCTTAAAATTCTGTCCGGATGTAAGAAAATACCGATACTGTTGATATAGTGTGTTGTGATTACTCATTGATATTTAAAAGTTGTAAATCGATTTTTATAGAGAATTTAAATGCAAACATTCACTGTAATTATTTCGTGTGGCACAATTTAAACTTTGATCACTAGGTGGCTTCAGTTTTTACCGCCTTCATTCTTACTAAAGACAAGATCTCACCATAACATTGGATGTGCATCATCTGGCTTTTAGTATCACAATATAGCATAGGTGTAAAAAAAGCTGCAAACAAAGACTGCTTCAACAATTGCATGCAAGTGTATCTAGATAAAGGTTTGCAACGGGCGAGTTTGATTTTGATTTCTCTTTTGTTCTTGCGCTGCTTTTGTCGATTGATGTAAATAAATGATTACAACTTCTGTTTTTGAAAGCATTCTTTGTTTATAGCAATTTTTCACACCTTTGCATAGTATGCATGTCGTAGTGCCAGATTCTTGCTAATACACACCCCTGTTCTGCCAGTGTTACAGATGAAATGCATCACAGTCATGCTGAGAAACAAAGCCTTGATTTTTTTATGTTAACTTTAGAGGGAAACAGCCAGACAACGTGCACGACCTTCTGCAGAAGCACTGTCGTGAGCTTCCTGTTCAGCTGCATCACTGCGTGGTATGGTGACTGACTAAAGAACAGCTTCAGGGAGCTCAACTCTCTTCCAGCTATAACCACCTTCCCTCTATGACCTCTGCACAACAAATCCCACTGAACTGCCTCTGTCTCAACCAATAAAATGCTGTCATCTCCAGGGGTCTCCAGTTCTTTTTCTCTAAGAAATAACTACGAGCTAAGTGCATCAGTGCTTAAAATGAAAAGGAAAAGAAAGGAGTGTGTTAGTCATTCTATTCAAGTATTTAAAACTACATTTTTCATTTTTTTAACATGAAATTTTACATTTTTATTGATGAACTTGTATCAATATGAATGGAAAATACTGTACATGCCTATTAAATAGTTTCAGCAATTAGATGCCTCTTTAATGAACTTATATACATTTTTAATTGGCCTGATTGTGTGATCTGTGTTAATATTCACAGCCCTAAGATATTAAATCCTGCTCCACACAAGCAGGGAACAGGAGTGGAAAAGATTTAATTTCTTTCCACCAGCGAAACACAAACGGTGTGTTTGTGTCAGCGATGGTGTGAACGTCTAGAGGCCGAGGGGCGCTCGGTGGAGTAACACAAACACACACTGTCTTGTATCTCCCACTGTTTCTATTAACCGTGCTGCTCACAGATCTGTCTCTCTAATCTGTTCTGAAAAACCACATTCAGCTAAAAACTCTATTTCTAACATTTCCTTTAGACTCGTTTCTGATTTCTACTGGAATGGCATGCGCAAATGCACACGAGCATGGATCAACCAAAGTGGATTTTAGTCGTTGCACAATAAAAGGTAATAAAATGCAGTCAAAAGAAACACAAATATAGATTTTGCACGTGTGCACGTTAAAGCTGATGGTATGTAAAGCCTTTTCCAGCAGCAATAAGACAAACGTTGCATTGCCAGAGGGCTCATACACGCTGTGAGCCCAACGAGCTGTTTAAAACCAGAGGCTCCCAACGTGACACAGCTGACATCACTCTGATGGCGTGTGGACATGCGTACACTTTGCTGCCTGGAAGCTTTTTATCATTTGGAGGATACACAGACGGTGGCTGGTGAGCTGCACATTGAAGGCAAAAACACGTCCGGCCGCACCTTCCCACCATGTCTGTGTGTGTGTTTAAGTGAAAAGGGCAGAGGAGACAGCAGCACTGCTAATGTGATTAGGATCGCTGTTAGCTTTTTATGCTTCTTTTTCACTCACACTCATGAATCTTTCTGTCTTCACCTCTTTGATTCCGTTTTTACACTTTCTCAGATCCTTTTAACTCTTTACTCCTCACTCTCTTCACGTTAAGTGGCCTTTTTACTCCCTAGGCACCCTCATAAAGCAAATTTCATCCATTTTTTTTACCTAAAACAAAAGAAAACACAGAGTTTTCTGGTGTCGACTAGACACGGGAGCCCCTTTAGAGGTTTTGTTCTCTATTCTTCCGTCTGAGTGTTCTTGGCTGGTGTTCACAACACTTATGTAATTCTTCATCGCAGCAGAGCAACACAAGCAACTCCTCAACTGCGTTTTCTATATGAATGACCACTTCTTCTGCTTCTGCAGCCATCTTTGTCTGAAACTAGGATTTATCTTAGAGGTGAATGGTTGTTGAGGTCTTCTCTCTGAGGTGCTGTTAAGCAGTGAAATGATTTATCGAGGAGGCTCGGACAACAAACAAAGACACAGCAGCTCTGATTTAACGCTTTGCATGAAACAGAGAGGCCATACGGACAAAGATCTTTTCAGTTCTGGCCAGACTCCTCATCAATTGAGCCTGTCGCTTTGGCCAAAGTCCCAAGTCTGAGGACTGGTTGGCTCTGGGTTATTATGGTTATATAACTATCTGCAAAGGACCATATGGGAAGCTCACTGGAGACAAATGTGTGGGTTTGAATCTCAGTGCATGTCACACATCTTCTGTTCCCACTCACAGATCTCCGGTTTCCTCGCCCATCTCACTTTTTTTGTAAAATAGACCTGGGCAATCACTAGTGGCACTGCCACTGAGATGCAATGTCAGCAGCTGCTGTTATCTGAACAATATTAAATTAAGAGTAAACATTTTATTTCCTTTAAATCTGACACTAAAGGGCGTTTTTGGTGAAGCAGCACCTCCATCAGCTTTGTGTTTCTGTGAGCTGAAGATAACGTGAAATAAAAATTTAAAAAACTAACTGCATGTCTCAGTATTGATCCTTTAATCTGTTTAATTCTCCCAGGGTCATCACTTTGAACCCAAACCTCTGCCCAGGAAATGAATCAAACTGAGGGAGACTCTTATTAAAGCATCTAGCTTTGAGTGTAAGAATGCCCGTGGGCAGACATCTGCGCCTTCACCAAGACATCCCTCTAAAACAAAAGCATGAAGCAAGTGAACACAGCACCGCTACCCTCCTAAAAGACACTCACATTTAGCAGTTTCTTCATTTAAACTATAGAGTCTCCAATGATTAATGTGGCTTTACAGTGAAATGAAGATTCAACACAACCACAGACAAACATGTAGTCATTTCAAAGGTGCTCTAGAATTAAAGACATTTAAAAAAAAATCTGCATTAATGTGTATTGCCTCTCCTACGTTATGTTAGACACTGCACACTCGTAAGATGGGTATCCCACACCATGAATGCACTTTCTATGGTTTGGACGTAGAATGAACGGAAATAACCTGGGTTTTAAATTTTGCAACATCCCTTTCGGCGGCAAAAATACTCTGACATCACCCGTGCGACCTGTGTTTCCACTTGTTTGCTTGTTTATGCACTACACTCTATGTAGAAGACCACCAGCGAAAGGCAGTTACTGCCTTCCACCAAGTTATTCCATATTAAGAAATGTTTATTGGCAAAGATGACAAGGATTTGGGGAACTACTGTTATCTACAGGCTTGCCATGCCTATGAATATTCCTCACGACGCTCTAAATTATATTATTATTATTATTTATAAAAACAAGGTGATGTGGACCCGCATTTTTCTCCTAGATTGGCAGGTGACTATATTTGTTTATATAAAAACAACTAGCGACCTGTGTACATCGCCTTAGTTTAACAAAAATATCAACTTAGGTGCATCTTTTTCTATTGTTGCACCATGAAGCTGAACACAAAAGCCTTAATGCACATATAAAAACATTATTAGATCTAAATGCTTTCACACACTGGAGAAGATACTTCCTCTATTGATGAAACTGAGTGTTTTTAGGGAGGATGATGTTCTAACTTGCAGACTAGTCGTGCTAATGTGGGACTATCGGCTGAGATGCACCCAAGTTTGACAATATATCTATAGATCGATATATATAAGCATGTGACAGATGTTGCTCCTGGTTGCGTTTACACCCTGTCCTTAAATGCTCAGCTGTCAGATTCAGAGTTTTGTCGTTTACATGATTCATTCCCACACAACATGAAGGATTAATGTGTCTGTCACCGATATGCGACCCGTGAGAGGTCCGCCAGTGCGCGGGTCGTGCGTCGGAGCACCAAATGTTCTCCCAGGCAACACTTTGAAAACAATAGAGGGAAAACAATAGCGGCTCTCCATGTGGGTTCAAAGGCAGCATGTGCAACAGACGCTTCGTTTGGGGAACGTTCGGTGAAACCTAGACGACCTTATGTAGAATAGATAAACATGAAGACGCACTTCATGGTACAAATGTGCGCATCGGAATATGGATGCGCTGGGAGCTGTCATTCCAGATGAACAAAGAAATTGTCGGCTACTCACGTCACAAAGGCAACATGTTGTTCTTCTTTTGTCATTTTCAGTCCAAAATCAGATGGAATAAAATAAAAAATTGAAATATGTAATCTCCGTTCGTTTATTTGGTGAGCTTAGACGACCCAACATGACGTTTCTGTGGACAACTCCAAAAACCCCGAAGCCACGCAAGGACGAAACAAAGCGCAACTCCTCTTTCCTTTCCTCCACTCTTGGCTGCTGTCTTCCGTTGTGTGTAGAGACAGACGCGCGGTTTGTAGCCACCACCCCATTTATTATTGAACGCCCTTAATGGGCAAATGTAATGGGATTAAAAAAAGGGGTGGCGGTGGTAGGGGGGATGCTTGCCTTTCCATCCCATGTTTACATCATCCACCCAATTATATGCCTTCAAAAATGATCTGAACGTGCACTTCCTTTGTGCGCCCGGTCCTTCTCCCTCTCGGCGGGTTAAACCATTCCGGCAGCCTGAGAGGGGGAGGGGACAGGGAGATTGTGGGATCTATTCATGGGAACAAATGGGCTTGGTGACTCGTGGCCAAATGTTGTTATTGTTAGAGATGAAGAAAGTTGTGGGGGATGTGAGGGATGGGAAAAGGGGAGGAAAAGGGTACTGGGATGGGGAGAAAGGGAGAAAGTGGAAGGAAACGAGAAGGAAAAATGACAAAAAGGGTGCCAAATGGAATAAAAACGAAGAGGAAGAAACAGCTCTGGCCATAGATGCCTCTCTCAGCTCCATTTCCTTACAGAATTGTATAATAATTCACGCCACATCAAGACAGGAAAATACAAAACACAAAGAAAAATGTGAATGTGTGGAGAAGATTCCTCTGCTGTTGGTTCTGCGTGACTTCAGCACCCTGGAGAGCTCTCAGTCAGAATTTATTCCATCTCTGTACCAGCAAAAGATGCACTTTCTGAAACTATTCATCCCATTAAGAACCAGAAAAAATACATAGTTTATGTTTAAAACTTTATCCACTGCAAGAAGGAATAAATGAATAGTCTCAGTTTAAGAAAAATAAATTTTCTCAGTGAATTTACGCCCCTCTCTACTCAAAGCTAAGCCTGCGTCTGTGTGTTTGTGTGTGTGTGTGTGTGTGTGTGTGTGTGTGTGTGTGTGTGTGTGTGTGTGTGTGTGTGTGTGTGTGTATTCTGCAGGGTCGTTGTCAAGTCATAGCTATTTTGGATAATATTTAGCTTTCTTGAACCCTACAATTTGAATGTGGATGTGCTGATTGCGCCCCCTACTGGATGGTAATTACGTTCATAATCTTGTTTGGAATTCAAACACGATGGAATAGAATAGAATAGAATAGAATAGAATAGAATAGAATAGAATAGAATGAACCTTTATCATCCCAAGAATAAGAAATGTGTGTGCTACACAGCTTTTATAGCAAAATGAATATATAGAACGAGGGCACAACATTCATATAAATGAAATAAAAAATACATGCACAGAAAATTTATAAACATTTATCGTCCACCGATTTAAACCTTAAAAGTCTTGAAAGTTTTCACAGTATAAAAAGTTCCCGGTGTGTTCTAAACAGGGAAATAATTTACAAATAATTGCGGCATTTTAGCAGATTTTTCCCTTTTTGGGTGAAATTTCTTCAGCCTCTTATGGAATTAGATCGTTTTTGATTCACATTTTAAAGACAATTTCTAAAATTTCCCCTTTCAGAATTTGTCTTGATGTTTTACCATGTTTTCCTGCATTTGTTTCTGGATGATTTTGCTGCAGAGCCGCTGTTCCCTGAAACCAGCTTTTTATCCTGTTACATAAGTAAGTAAGTAAATTTTATTTATGTAGCACAGACATAGAATCACAAAGTGATTCACATAGAACAAAACAAAATAAAACAAAGTCATAAAATCATAATGATCTCAAAACAAAATTAGATTAACATGAAAAAATAGTCATAAAATTATAAACATTCATAAACAGGTGAAAGATTAAAAGTGGAAGTTGTAAAATAAACAAGCACACGCTGACCAGTGTAAGAAAATGAGCCTATAAAGATTTTTTTTCTAAAAGAACATTTAAAATAAGACGTGACTTGAAGCTGAATATTAGTATTCTTATTATCATTAATGAAGTAGTGACTCCTGACCCATGACTTTCCCAGATTGCCATAATTTCTGGGACAGATTCGCAGTCGTGGTTTTTTTTCAGTGAGCGCATCTGTGCCTTTAAGATCATCTCTCAGCAGCATCCTCCTCCTCTGTCAGGCACGCGCACACGCGTACAGCAGCCCAGCATTATACAGAATCGCTTACAACCTCCACGCACCCTCATACACTTACACGACAACAACCCACAGCTGCACTGATCCTCATCCTTTCCTCCACCGGACATTGATGCATTTGCCTCAGCGCTCTCCGTAGCGATCACCTTCCTTCCCTCCTGCATCCAAAGACAGATCCACGCGACAAGATGGCTGAGCTGAATTTGGGGAAGGGGCTGACGGCTGGGAAAGTGGCCAGCAACGTTCAGAAGAAGCTAACCAGGGCTCAGGAAAAGGTATGATGTGTCCTCTGTTTTTCTGTTCATGTGAGAAAAGAGGGGGTGGTGGGGAATGACGCTTCGGGCCTTTGTGCGCATCGGAGTTGCGCTACCGCATCCTTCGCTGAGGCGCATTGTCGCGTCACGACACCATAAAAAGAACAGGGATGTTGTGTTTGGAGATGTCTACTCGGGATGCATCTCGTCTTTGGATACTGTCTCACAGCGGAGACGCTGCGGGCGGGCACATGACGCACAGGCCTTCTTGTGATTTAACCTGCCATTTCTGCAATTTTTGGGCATTTTCTAACATAAACAGATCAGAGAGAGCGCTTTTGTGACTAAATCTTTCCTTGCTCCTCGCGCGCCATTACAGTACTAAACAGCTGGTTGCTGCATAAGTTGCAGGAGGCCTTTGCTTCCAAGCACATGCACTTTGCACCAAATAGTTGCGAGGGGGCGCTGTTTGTCAAACCAGAAAAAGAGTCAGATTAGATGCAATATATGCATTCCATAAAACATTTCTGTAATACCTATCTATCTGATGCAGCACGTTTTTTTTTGTTCTGAGTAATCAATTCATTTAATGAAGGTATTACTTTACCTGGATGACATTTTGGCTCTGATTGGTAAATTACAGTTCAATAACATTCAGCATTTTAACGCTCCAATAAAGCATTTAAACACCAAATAGGAAACTGAAATACTTAAATCAACATTTTCGTTGGTCGACAGGTTCTACAGAAGCTCGGAAAAGCAGACGAGACCAAAGATGCCGCCTTTGAGGAGTGGGTTATCAACTTCAACAAACAATATGTAAGTAAAATATCAGACCAACAGTTTAGTAACAACACTGGATGCTCTGTGGCTGTCAGGGTTTATGTCTATATTATATTCCACCTCTAGGCTGAAGGCTCCAAACTCCAGAGAGACCTGAGGGCATATCTGGAGGCAGTTAAAGGTAACACACACAATATTAAAACATCACTTATGGATGCTTCTGCTAACGTGATGTTTTTTTTTTTTTTACTGCAGCCATGCACGAGTCCTCTAAGAATCTGCAGGCATGTCTGGGAGACATGTACGATCAAGACTGGCATGGCAAAAACGAAGTGGACTCTGTTTTGGAGGTCAGAAAGCCTTTTTTTCTCGATGCCCTTAAAGCACACAGAGATGATGATTGTGTGCAAAAGAGTGAAGGGGAACTAGCTTTCCGTTAGAGGACTAAACCAACATTTGTGGATTAGGTGTGTGCAGAACACCACGGCTGCTATAGATTCTAGCAGACAATGGTTGCATGAACTTGTGCGTGAGCGTCGGCGGTTCGAAGGTCACAGGATTGAAACATTCTGCCTCTGCCGGCGTTATTTTTGGCCACCAGCTGCTCATTCAGTTTCCAGTCAATTGTGTTTTGTTAACATGGTGCCAAATAGTTACATCAGTGACTTCACTGCATCAAGTCTTTTCCAATAAGAGAGAGAAATTATGACAGAAATTAGTGAGATTAGGGTGTTTATCGTATGCTGAGAGAGACGGGGAGTGAACGAGTGAACACTGATCATTTTGTAATTCCAGCGCCAGTTTGGTTCCAGTTTAGTAATTCCGACGTTTTGCTTCTCCTTCTGTTTGAAACTCTGGAAACAGGCCTAGAATAAATCTGGCGTGATCATATATGATTATGTGTGTCCATCCATGCTGCAGGACTGTGACGTGCTTTGGACTGATTATCACCAGAAGTTGGTGGATCATGCTCTGATCTCCATGGATACCTACCTGGGACAGTTCCCTGATATCAAGGTGAATTGGACACTCGTGACCTCGAGAATTAACAGCACCTTGGCTATCAAATGTTACTTATACATCGTTTTATTTATCCACAATGCACCGTGCTTACTTCAGTTACCCTGCATGTTATTTAAACGCCAAATAAAATACAAAAAACATGAGAAAATATGAAATGCAAATGAATGTGTAACAATGGTTTCCTTTTTTCAGGCTCGTATTGCTAAGAGGGACAGGAAGCTGGTGGATTATGACAGTGCCAGGCATAACTATGCTGCTACACACAAGACCAAGAAAAAAGACGGGGGCATTAAAATTACCAAGGTAGGAAACAAAGAATATTTATGTTTGCTAACATTTACAAGCATTACTAAGTGCTCACAGGGATATTTGCTCACTCTCTTTCAGCCTTCCACTTTGTTGGAACGAGCCACTCCAGGGTGGGCTCAGGGGATCTTGTCTGCACACAATCTAGCCCAGACCAGTCTATCCAAGAGCCAGGTACCTTCTAGGCATCATACCACCTGCTGTTGCTGATGATGAATTTTCTTATTATTAGTAGTAGTAGTATTGGTAGTGACCGGAAAAATAAGATTGCAGACATAAGCGCCAAAATGAGTTTTCTCCACAGGGTGGCTTGGCTCTCTCTCCCTTGGCGACAAGGTGAGAAGCTCGGTCATCCGGGAGGGGCTCGGAGCGGACCCGCTGCTCCTCCACACTGAGAGGAGCCGGTTGAGGTGGCTCGGGTATCAAGTTACGATGCCTTCTGAACGCCTCCCTGGTGAGGTTTTCCGAGCATGTCCAACCAGGAGATTTAAAAGAAGACCCAGGACACTTTGGAGGGACTGTGTCTCTCAGCTGGCCAGGGAACACCTTGGGATTCCCCCAGAGGAGCTGGCCCAAGTGGATGGGGAGAGGGAAGTCTGGGCCTCCCTGCTTAGGATACTGCCCCGCGACCCGACTATTATTATTATTATTATTGTTGTTGTTGTTGTTGTTATTGTTATTATTGTATTTTTTTCCATTGTTTGTCTGGTTTTTGTTATTTTGGAATTCGAAATGAAAAAAGTTACACAAAACATTAAGCAAAAATACAGAGCAAACAGATAAATACTCTAAATAAAAAAGACACATTCGTAAATTTAAAAGTCACACAGCGAGCAGTTAGATGTTTGCAACATGTTTATGTTTATGTTTATGTTTATGCATCCAACGCTCCCTCTCAAATAACACTTCCAGAACCTTGTATCTGTTGTCACAAGCTCCTTCTTTCACCACTCTTGAAGCTGTTTTAGCACGCTGCGGTAGAGTTGGGAACACGGTTCAAAAGCTGTGTTGGATTTTTGTCGTCAATATTTGTCAGCCATCTCATAACCCATTATCATTAAGCCAGAACAAAATTTAAACCCCCTTCATTCTTGCTCTCCTTATTTTTCCTTCTTAACATCCCAGATGGAGTCCGATCACAGACATTACTTTGACTCTGAAAGCATAAAATTGGGGATTTAAATTTTAAATGCACCAATTTGTTTCTATTTCAGGCTGAGGAGGAATTAGAAAGAGCCCAGAAGGTGTTTGAAGAGATTAATCTTGACTTGCAAGAGGAGTTACCTTCTCTCTGGAACAGGTGTGTGTCATCACAACCATAAAATGCATCGGTAATACAAAAGTCAGTTCGGGAATGCATTTATACATATTTCTCTTCTGTGCTCGCTTTAGTCGAGTTGGATTCTACGTCAGCACCTTCCAGAGTTTGGCGGGTTTCGAGGAGAAGTTTCACAAGGAAATTAGTCGGGTAAGACTCTTCCACAGACCTCCAGCGCAGCTGCTCTACAGGATTGAGTTACTGACGCGGTGTATCGGGTGGCAGGTGATGGAAAATGTTGACAAAGTAGGACAGTAGGAGTGCTGCAGGGCAGACATTTGCAGATAAATTAATTATCCATGTATTATCATTTTGTAATAGTCTGATAAGCAATTTTAATCTTTGCATTAATATGGATGAGATGCAGGGAGGTTGTCACGCTTGGCTGAACATTGACAGGAACACAGAGCAGGAGGGAGAAAACCATGTAATGACCAGATAATAATGATGTAGAGCAAAATGATGTGAAGAGATTTGCTGACTAAAAAAATCAAAGAAGTGTAACATCTGACTCTTTCTTTTAACGTCTGCAGTTGGATCAGGATTTGTATGACGTCCTTGTGAACCTGGAGAAGTCAGACCCAAACAGGTTAGTGGGTTTTCAGCTGTTTAGAGTTCCTCATATGGTCGTACAAATGTAATAATAATAATAATAGAGCAATAATGATGAAAAAGGTACATTTTTACTAAAAAAGCTCCATATTTTAAAAAAAAATCTTTTAAAATTTTATTAATTTTGCTTTTAGTTTAGTTCAGTGAAGATACAGTAGTCTGTAAAATACATGCTAGAAAGAAAATGTCGAAGTTACGTCAACTGGTTCCTCTAAACCGAGTTGCTTAAATGTAAAGAGTAATGCACATTTGTGTTCAACACAACGTATAACAATGTTATAAAGAAAAAAACATCAAAATTACATATTTATTTTAATGTGTAACAGTTGTTTAATGCAAAATCAACTGCCGTCCTAACTGTGAAGTGTCATCGTTTTCCTGCACAAATATTAAAATCAATGAAAATCAGAAATAAATAATCAAATATAAAGCATTAACCTGCAGCCACTCGTGAACCTCCCATTTCAGAAAGACAGATGGGCAGGACGACTCATCATCAGGAGCGAACAGGAGGTAACTGACAACATTTGTGGTAACCATGGTGATGCAACATTTTTCTGTTTGTCCAAATAGACCTGTGTGTCCAGCTGTCATCTCTCAGTCTACAAACTCAGGTTATCATAGGAATCCGTGTTTTGTTGTCCAGATGATTTCAGACAGTTGGAGTGCTCTGATGCTGCAGAGTAGAGCAGACCTGCACGTCGCTCATTAAAGCAACCCTTAATAAGTCCCACATTTCTCCCTCCTACTGGTTTAAAGTGGAATTACAGCCGTAGTAAACAACCTTGATGCAGTAGCTAGGGCTTACTAGCCTGGCAAGCCAGACTAAATAAATGTATTATTTAGTCTGGCCATGCTCCATTGACGGCTCTCGGTTGTGGGGCGAGTTCTACCGTTGTCTTTCAAATGATCTCCGCATGCTACTGGACAATGAATGTGACATACTCTTGTTTCACTCTGTTGCATCATCCCACCCACCAGGCATATAGAGTGCCCTGATTGGCCCACAAAGCGGATAAAGCTCTGTGATTTGTTCACTAAGCAGATAGAGCATTATGATTGGCCCATAATTATGGACCAATCACAGCTCTTTATGTGTTTGAAACCCCTCTAGAGAGCTGTGATTGGCCAGCCAGAGTCCTGGTAGGAGCTGCGGAGGTTCCACTGGAGCATGCCTAGACCAAACTTTGCAAAGCAAGAATTTGGTCTAGTTCACTAGACTAAGGGCTTACAACAAGCTAATGCTAACATGAGCCAACCAAAGTCAAAGCCATACACACTATCGGACGAAAATAATTACTTACAAGTCCAGTAGTAACAATGCCAGGTCACCATCAGTCGTGATTTTGTAGCTTCCTTTAGCTTCTTAAAACAAATGCTGACTGAGCCGACGTTCACTCTGTGTTTAGCTATTTGCTTCATCTCTAAAGTAATTTCTCTCTTACCTTTCATCTTGTGCTTTTTTTTTAGAGGTTCGGCAAATTAAAACAAGCTAACTGCTAGCCTTTATATGAGCTACCAGCACAGTAAACAGCTACTGCCGTAAAGGTGAGATCTCCCACTATATTCCTACCTGAACCACTAAACCATTAGGTGCAGTTTCCGGTCAGCAGAGGGCTACAGAGTGCTGTACAATGGAAAGTTGCTCGAGTTTGTGGCTCAAAAATCACTGAAAGCAGTTTGAAAGCAATAGTTTAAAATGTGAAAAACTCTTTAGTGTTGCTTTAATGCTGCAACTGGCTAAAATGTTGCATAATGTACTAAACTCGCCTGCTCCAGCTACGGCGTGCAGGTAACTGCTCGACTCTTCAGCCGCCTGAAGCACAGAGTTTGTTTTGATCAGCTGTAGAACATGTTCTTTGTCCGTCGATGCATCTCACTTTACTCACCAAAGGATCTGCTGAAGGCACAGCCTGCTTGCATGGTAGGAAATGGGTGGATGGACCTACCCACTTCTCTCGCATGACAGCTTTTGCAATAACAGTTTCTGCTTGGACCCTTGTAGCGCATGCCCTGGAGCTATTTTCTGTATTTTTTTCTTCTTCAAGATGCTCCTTAACCTCTTCTGATGATTTTAAACATCTCTGTCGCTCTCTATGTTTATGCTTCATTCATTTAGCAGCAAAGATGCTTCTAACCACTCTCTCAGACCAGGAGGACCACCTCCGATCCCCAAATCTCCATCGAAGGTGGATTCTTTCTCACAGAAGTTATATTTCAGATGTCTTTCCACACAAACCATTGCCATGTTTAGTCTACATTTATAATGTACCGGTAGACAGGACAAAATGAAATGATAGCGATTTGGGTCATAGCAAATCATTTTGATCTTATTGTTCCCTTCCGTGAATTTCAGTTAAGACCAGCAGTGCCTCCTCCGCCTAAGGTGACCCCGTCTAAGGAGTTAAAAACAGAGAACATCATCAACCTGTTTGACGCTGCAGCAGCTCCTGACATCAGCGTCACCTCCCCCACAGAGGTCAGTGAGCAGCTGCTGGTGATAAACTCTCAGACAACCCTTTAATTTTTCCCTTTTCAGGTCAGATCCTTTTCCACTGGCCTTCTACAACCAATGTTCTACCATACTCTACCCTATTCTACTGTACTGTGTGAATGTGTGTGTGTGTGTGTGTGTGTGTGTGTGTGTGTGTGTGTGTGTGTGAATGGGTGAATGACTGATTGGGTTGTGAAGTGTCTTGGGGGGTTGTAGAACCCTAAGAAGGCACTCTACTCTACTCTACTCTACATTTCCCTACTCTACTCTACTCTACTCTACCTTTTTCTTCGCCTCACCCCACTTTACTATCCTGTTTGCTGCTCCTGCTATTGAAACCATTAGCCAATCAGCTCCCCTGTTCCTATTGTCAGTTTGACAGTCCTGCAGCAAGCAGCCTGCTGGACATGGACCTGGACCCTTTCAGTACAGCAACCAAAGTCCCTGCAGTCACTCAGGTGGACGATTCCTGGCATGAACACAGCTATCGTAGTCTAGGACGAGTCAAACTTTATAAAAGATTTTGTGTCCCATCCAGACAGAGTCCAAGTTCATGTCATGATGTTTAAGTTTTAAAGACCTGAGCCAGCTTGTCAGGAAAACAATTGAATGCATTTTTTTTTTATAATCTGCAGCTAATGGGGCCATTGCTTGACTTTAAATAGACTGACATAAGCTTAAATAGTCTGGATAAGACATACAATCTCATGTAAAGGTTGGCATTGTTTGAGGTGTTGCCTGTGCTGCTTCTTTATCCCGAACCTGAGGTGGATGGTGGCATGAGGACCTGTAGAAACCCTGCTTCTAGCGACACTTTTCTCTTGCTTCAGCACCACAAGCTACCTACTGTAGATAGCATGAACTTCAGACTGTATCCCTTCTCTGCTCTTAGTTCTTTCTCTTCAGGTCTGGACAAAACCTACAACCCCAACCCTAAAAATGCAGATGAATGACCAAGAGCAGGGCTATTCAATTCCGTGCCTCGAGGGCCAATATCCAGCGCGCTTTAATGGTTTCTCTGCTCCTACACACTAGATTCAGTGGTTGAATCACCTGTGCAGCAGCTCATCAGGCTCTGCAGAAGTCTGGCAATCACCTGCTGATTGAAATCAGGTGTGTTGAAGCAGGGTTAAAACCCAAACATCCTGGATACTAGCCCTTCAGGCCCAAAATTGAACAGCCCTGACCTAGAGGTTACCACTACTTCTATAAAGATACTTATATTTATCAAAATATTTCATAAATAGACCCACTCCCCCTTTTGTTTTCTCAGATTGTAAAAATGTCACAAGTTTTTTAAAGTTTTATTTGCATTTAGCCTGATATTCTGCATTTTAGCTGAAGAAAAAAAACTTTTTTGCTGATAAGATGGGAAAACTTTGGACCCCTGAAGAAAATATTAACAGGAAAATGATGCTGTATCCGTCAGTGGTGGTGTTGCTTAAAAATACACAACTAGCATGAACTGTGTGACCGACAGACAGAAGTTAAAAGGATTGTTAATCTTTTGATAGACCATTATTAGACACCGCGTTGTGAATGCATTTCTTTGTGGGTCAATTATTGTTTTAACTTCGTAGTCAAAAGCCTAGGGGGAGAAATGAGTCAGTTAGGTCAGGACTTTCTGGTTTGAGTTGCAAAAGGTTGAATAATTCGTAGATCGATTGCTTTGAGCTTGCAGTTTCAGAGCATGTGGGCCCAATCTCAATACTCGCACTTGCACCCTCGTGCCCTTTAACTGCGCGTTCCTGGCCAGGGGTGCATCCCGATCCTCAGTTGCGGAAGTTGACCACGTCTCCATTGCACCCTTAATCTGCCCAAGTCCACAGCGATGCGGTCCTCAAGCAAGGGTATTACCCACAAGCCATTGCTGTGGGAGAAATGGCTCAATTTCCTTTTCTGAAAATATGTATTTTCTAATAAAATTAGTTAATTTTAGGACAATTATTTGATGCTCTGAATTTTTTAGCCAAAGCAGCAATGAAGTTAAATTTATTTCAGATAATTGATTTGTTGTTTGTTTGAAAGTTGCTAATAAAGGTTTTTGAAACAGTTTCAGAGCGACCAGCATCCCGGAGTGTTTTGCGATCGATGGCGTAATGCTCCCTGTCTCAATCCGGCAATTATTTGCACACTTGTGTGCTACGCACTCGAACCCTACTGTGCACTTTCTCCGAGTGCACTTTGCTGAAGACCGCAGGGTGCAGTGCGAGTATTGAGATTGGGCCGATGTTTGCATTCAACGCATCCTTTTGATCTCAAAAGCAAGAATTTTGCCTATAATCTAATTCTTTCACTTCTTTTATGTCCCACAGGCTGCAAACTGGGACTCTTGGGTAAGTATTCCACCGTCGTGTTGAACTGTCTAAAAGCAATTCTACAATTTGCATCATGCTTATCATTATTAGCATTTGTAGTTTTGCGTTTGCACTAATTGCAGATGCATTAACGTTGTCCTCTCACAGATGCATCGCATGACCCCTCCGCTCATTATGGTGCTGCTGTTTTTGATGAACACGCTTTTCCTTCGCGCGTTTGTCCCACATCTGTTTGTTTGCCGTCGTTGTCTACAGTGCTTGGTGTGCTAACACAACACTGAAGATATTGTTGCGCAACACAAATGGAACTTGGGATTCGGCTTGAGTCAATTCAGTTTCAAATTCAAATTTTTATCATTTGAGGGCAGAGGACGAGCAAAAATGCTGTCTGACCGCCTCACTAATCTGTTTAGACGCAGGTTTTACAAAAGTTTACATTCCTTTGATTTGAAGCAAATTGTAACTGAATTAACCGCCTCACTTTCTCCTTTCACACTGTTGTGTGCTCATATGTGATGCTCACAAAAACACGTCACTTGCACGTGTGAACTTCACGGTCACACGTGACACACGCTGGTGGGTTTTGTTTCTAACAGTTGAGTGAAGTTGCTCATGTTGGCTGCGATGCTTTCTCTCCTTGTAAACAAACAAAAACTCATGGGCAACTTCACAAAGTTGCTCTCTTCCGACCTTTAACCTTTCTCCTTGTTCATCCCTAACCCTGTGAGAGAAATGTGTTTCAGTGTCCAGAAGATTTTGGTTCAAATCTAAAGGATTGACGCTTTAAATCTTACAAACATTCTTTTGATCTGAGTATGGCCGTGGGATTGTAAACCACAACATTATTGAGAAGATTTTTCCTGGTTTTTAATTATTTTTTTTCCCTGTTTCTGCTTGTTAGAACTACCTTTTCATATTTTATTTTGTATTTTTGCTTTTATCTGATCCATTTGTGTAAAGGTTAATACTCTACATTCATGTTCCTGGGTCTTAACATGTTAACCGCTTCATTTGCTTTATTCTATGTAGAATAACAGTCTTACTGTATGTAATGCATTATTGCTTATTGAACTTGACAAAACTACCCAATAACTAAGTCATATTTAGATCCTACATATGTAAGTATTAACCTCATTAAATATCAGTTATTTAAAGTTTTCTTAACCAAGTTAGAATGACTGATTTCCTTGCTTGCCGCTCTGATATACAGCCATGTTTCAAAGAAAGTTGCAAAGTTAGCATATTTTCATTAAAAACATAGATTTTATTTGGTTTCAGCAACGCTTTAAAGAAAAGTTGCAACAAGAACATTTATTACTGCCTTTGATCACAAACGTTAAAGTTCCAAATGTAAAATATCACTCTGTTCTCACTGGGAAAAAAAAGGAAAGTATTCTTCCTGATGCATCTTGTTGCTTTGCATGCAAAATCCATAAATGTTAATGCCCACTAAATCTAGAGCTTGTGTACATTTATATAAATAAATATCAGGTGTCGAACAAACATTGCTCCAAAATCTACAAATCCCATAACTTCATCCGTGCCTTTACGGACGTGCAGGTTCATCTGAACTGTAATATATATATATTTTTACAAATGCATGACTAATCTTTTAATCTGCACTCTCCAGCCACTCCTGTTACATCACTGAAATAGCTACAGTAGTAGTTCATTTTTCTTTACTGAAGCTCAGATGTTGCTCGTCGGTCTAAATAATGTCCGTCTGTGCCCCTCCTTGAATTACGTTGCTGAGGTCAAATACAACCTGAACACTTTGAGATTTGCATCACATTTTTTCTGTGAACAGGGTTGTATTAAATGTAACTACCTTCTCTGCTGTGAATATTTGACTGCAATCTGAAGCTCATTGTTGTTTTACTGGCCGTACAATCCCACCAGGCCCTCCAACATTCAGCCTGTCATCGTTTCCCTTATCCCCCACCTTGCTTCCCTTTGGTTTTCAGTTTTTCATTTAGATTTTTTTAAAATTCTTACAATATCTTTAGGATGAGATATTTAATATTTTCTGACTGCTTGAAACCTGACCCTTGCCCTTCAGCATGAGGACAGTGGTGCCAGGGAAGAAACCCCCCAGAGGCACTATGATCCTGTTGCGGCTGCAGCAGAAGCCTGGGGGGACGATGGTACTCAGCCTATCCGCTACGACCCCATAGCGGCTGCTACAGAGAGCTGGGGGGATGGTGGAACCCCACCAGCTCACTACGACTCTGTAACTGCAGACCAGGAGGAGTGGGGGGATGATGGGAGCCACCTGGCTCATCATGAGCCAGATGCTGAACCCCAAGAGGGCTGTGATGATGATACAGAGCATGCAGGCCAAGAGGAGCCTCCTGCTGATGAAACACCTGATGATGAGGCTCCAGCTGATTCAACTGAGGAGGAAACCACCACCCCAACTGCTTCTGAGTCGGATAATAAAGAGGGTCAGGTAACCAAGGACAGAGAGATGCATCTGGATGAAAATGCCGGATGCATCAACACTGAGACGGAGATTTGAGCATGTGCTCTTGTGCAGAAAAAAAAAAGATTAACATGTTGTGTTTTTAATGGAAGTGAAAATGTGGTGGAATGTCGACATGGAAAGATTTAGGATGCATCTGGACCAGAATCTTGGATGCATCAAATGTGGTAAAGAGGGAAAGCTGGCAACAAATTCAAAAGATAGAAAAGTGAAATATGCATCTTGATTGCACATTTTGTCATCATCACTGCTAATTATTATGAACACACCATGCTATACCACAGCTGCCAATCTAACCAATGTACCTGTCTTACTGTAAACAACAATGCTTAGGCTTTATGAGCTTGTGCTATCGCCTGTTGTATTCTGTGTTTTTGATGTTTTTCATTCTTTGGTCACCATTCTTAGTGCACTGCGATTGTTGCCGTTTTATCTCTTTGGTGAATGTTTGCTTTTCTGGTTTCAGGGAGATTCTCCATCAGCTGCAGAACCACCACCACCAGCAGCAGCAGCAGAAGAAGAAGAAGAGGAAGCAGCAGCAGCAGTGACAGAGGAGGTAAATGGGGAAAGAAATAGCAGAATTAAGAAAAATGACTTTTTGCTGAGCATCAAATAAATAATGACACATTTGTCAGTAAATTTATGCTTTAAATTCTCCCTGGTGAGCAAGAAAATGTCTCCTTCTGTTCAACCAACAGACACCTGAACCTGCACCTGCAGCAGAAGCACCAGCAGCAGCAGAAGCAGAAGCAGAAGCAGCAGCAGAAGAAGAAACAAAAACTGATGAAATGCCTCCCAGCTTTTTGTTTAAAGTAAAACAAGAATAGAAGCAAAACATACATTTTCTGTGCAAAAATATAATGTATACGGCAGTTAAGATCTCATAATTTATGTGCAAAAGGTCCAAGTGATGCATGACTATGCCGCCAACGACACGGATGAACTGGAAATGAAGGCCGGCGACGTGGTGCTTGTGATCACCTTTGAGAACCCTGATGAACAGGTACCAAACAAAAACAGGTGCAGTAACAGTGTGTGCTGTAATGTTGCGGCTACGCTAACACGTTTTATCATATCAGGATGACGGCTGGCTGATGGGAATCCAGCAGAACGACTGGCAGCAAAACAAAGAGAACGCCACTAAAGGAGTATTTCCTGAAAACTTCACTCAGAGGCTGTGAAAGAGAAGAAAATCTTCCTTTTCTTTTGTTTTTCTCTCTCTCGCCTGTATCACCTCCCCCTTCCTCTACCCCGATGCTGTATCTTTACGAGGACTTTGGCCATATAAGCAGAGCTGTCACAGCCCTGAGTGAAATCATGCATTTCTGAGGTCTGCCACACTGTGGATCTTGACATTTTTTATGTGTTGTCTTCTAACATTTCTTAATGACAGATGTAGCCATTTCACAGGTGTGTTGCTTCATAGTTGATTCGTTGACGGCTCTGGTCATGAAGAGTATGACGTGCAGAGAGTTTACCTATGCAATGGCTACAGCTCAAATCACCCTCTGCTGGTCTCTTTGTCAGGCTTCATCATCAACAATGAGATTTGTTGAACTATTTTTGTTGAAGAGCAGCATAAAAAAAACTTAAATTGATGCTAACGTCTTCACACACAGACAGTCGCAGTAGAATAACAAAAAAGTACATTTTCTTTCAATGACGCCAGATTTTTTTTATTGTTTCAGGATTCAAAATGCTTGTGCATTTTGATGTAGGCTTTGCTAAACAGTTAACAGCTTGGCGTATGTGGTGCATTTCATGACCTTGTAGGGACCAACTAACTTTCTATCAAGTCCTGAAACATAAAATCAATTAAGTGAAATAAAGTGCACTGATTGTTTTTAACCTTAAGAGTAAAACTATTAAGCAAAAACATTCATTCAGCTGAGTAAAGCACTGAAAATGTACAACCATGCCCTCATCTGCAACCTCATATTGAAATAGCAAAAAAAAAAAAAAGCATTCTTTTACTAAACTAAAAATATGCACTCCAGCTTTTTGTCTGATTAGTGCTGGAGTTTGTAGATTAGTGACCCCACACCTCACACACTGCCTTCAGGACACATGAGCCCACCCGTCACTCCTCCTCCAACAGTTTACTCGTGAGAAATGGGTCTTTGGTTGTTGTTTTAGTGTCAATTCTGTAGTGGCACACGTCGTATGATCCTCGAAAGGGCAGTTAACTGGGCGACTAAATCAAAATCCGTCAAGAGTATAAAAAAGCAACGACAAATATTAGAAGATATTTACTGAGTTGTTTCTATGTTAGTCCCTGAGTAGTTTGGAGTTGTGTTGGATTGTCGTTTCTCCCTCAGGCTCGCTGTAAAGCTAGCCAGCATCACCGGGAAGCTGCTGCTGCTGTTGTGTAATAACTAACACCCTAACAATAATCAAATACATAACAACTGAGCCAGCCGCGTTCATATTAAACAAAATGTGCCGAAAACAGTTGGACTCAAATGTTTAACAATATGCATCAGAGCAACTACTTTTATTTTTGTATGCTGCCGAGCAATGATTACAGCCTAATGTAACCATGCCGACATAATTGCCAACCGAGGATGTTATGGAGTATTTTGTACCTCTGTAAGGTTTATTGCTCTCAGTGTAGTTGCAAATATTAACCCGGTTGTTCATTCAGACGTGAACTCTGAAGAAGTTCACGACGCTCCTTATGTTATTAATGTTTAATAAGCGTGAGAGAAACTCTGTGTGTGTGTGTGTGTGTGTGTGTGTGTGTGGTTTTATGAGTTGTTTGAGGAAACACAAATCTTTATCTGTGGGCTGTCGTTGCTGGATGGTGCCGCCGCCGGTTGGGAGTAGTGGGCGCGGTGGTCTGAATAACTTGAACATACAGAGATATTTATTTCCACTGGCTGGTATTATGGTTGCAGGTGTTATAGTGTATTTGTTGTGTATACGTGTAATTTTTCCAAGCTGTGATGACAGATACATATTCTATACGACATCCATATCTGTATGTGAGTTTCTGTGAGCATGCTGACTTTCCCGCGTGTCGTCGTGTGGACAGCCTGAGATTTCAGACGGTGATACTTGGTTCAGATTTGAGGCAGTTGCAAAAAAAGAAGTGTTTATTTTTTATTACTTTTTTAACGCTACTTTTGGTAAGAGGGAAGGTATGGGCATTGTGTTATTTATTTAAATATTTTTTTTTTCTAAATTTATCTTTATTATAATTATTGGTTTTCCATCTGCCGTGCCTCTAAATGTTGCTAGGTATCGTGGTCCGAGCAGAGTTGTTTAAAGGGAGGCAGGACTCATAGAGATTATATTAATGCAACCAGACTCAGGTGCACTGAATTTTTTTAATGGTTTTCAGTGTTTTAGCCACTGTGGGTATGCATTTATTTGTTTATTTATGCTTAAAAGGGAAGATAAGGAGAATGAACCCCTGCACATTTTGTTAAGTCAATCATTAACATATTTTATTTTCAGGTTTTGTGTATATATCGGAGTGTTTTACCTGTGTCTGGTTCATATATATCCTGCTTTATGGATCAGTCTCCTAATGGTGAGATATGAGATAAGACAAACCCCCAACAATAATAAAGATTAAAGAGAACCAACTTTTCTTCTTCTAGTCTGCTTTGAATTTAGATTTTTGAGGGGGGAAAAAAATCCTCTTTTTATTAGATTTTTAAATGCTGTGGGGAGGTTCCAGCAGGGGGCGCTGTGCTTCACGGCTAAACATGAATTCTAGAAAAAACAAACCTCCTTGGAGTCTTTAGGATGAAGAAAAGGGACCGTCACATGGCACCGCTGTCCATGGTGCTGAAACAAAACAAACAAAACAAAAAAGAAAAACACCCATAAACCACAATCTGCAGGATTTAATCTGTTTTGATAGAAACGTCAGATTATTGGTCCCGTTCAACTTAAATGATGCACAAGAACATGTGTTGTTTCTAAAACTGACTTTATTACATAAATAGTTTCTTAAATATTACAAACGTGATTCATTATCATATTATGGATTTATTTCTGTTACAAAAGCACACAGAGTTTTGTTCGCAAGCCAAAACTTTGTGCCAAATACAAATTTCATAAACAGACAAAAAATAATAATAAAATTTATATATTTAAAGCATTTTCTGAAAATAGATCTTTAAATAGTTTCTCCACTAAAGAGTTTAATGTACATATTCAACAAAATCTCTGAGCAGTCATACAGAAGAATGCCCGGCAGTTTCCAGATGATTACTGATGATCATTAAAAAAAATTCAACCACAGCCAGGAGCAGTTGGAAAATAAAACTCATAGATTGTTATTATCTATTCCTGTACAGCATTACAACATAAAGCAGTTTTTTGTTGTTTTAGCATTAATAATAAAATTTACATCTTCCCTGTGGATCTTTAGGCATTTAAAACAATCCAAAAGGGAGAAACCAAATAAAATATTTCTATTAAAAAGAAATAATAATGTCTGCCATTATTTGGATGCACAAAATATTCTTAATACAGTAGTTGGATAAAGCCTGAGTCTTTTTACTGACCTGAAAACAGACAACCTCAAACCATTAAGTCTAATCAGTTCAAACGTTTTAAAATAAAACATCTGATAAAAACGTGAATGAAATGTTGAAATTAGCTAAAGACAATCAAGTTGTTGGAAAAACGTAAAACAGATCGAAGGAATTTTGAAAGCACGTGTTTTCCAGCAGGTGCTTGATAACTCAAATGCAGAATCGATGCATTGCTTCACTGCACTGAAAAGAAACATGAGCGATTCCTCAACCGTCTAAGATTACACAAGTGAATAAATACCTATGCACATCTTACATTGATCAATACCTTTTTAGCTTCTTGTTTTAGTCCCTTTTGGATGTTTCTTTCTCTCTTTGGCCTAAAAATACATGAAAATCAGTTTTAATCAAAGTATAAATGTTATATCTAAACCAAGAATGAAGCAATCTGACTGCTTTACTTTATAAACCTGCTTTTGTTTTGAGTCTTAATTGTTTTGTGATCCCTGACAAACTCACCGCATTGCCTCTAAATCTGACATTTTAATCTCGTAGTCTTCTACATGAAAACATTTAGCTAAAGTACAGCGATGACGTACGATTTAGCATTGAAACACATTGGCTTTAGTATATTGGTTGATCTTCGGTGCTCCCTCAGCCCCCTCCAGTGGGAGAGTGACTTGTGCTCCTAATTATTTTGCCCCTGAAGCAGGAAATGGAAAGTCCTTTTTTGTTTTTGGCCTCTGTTTCTGTCATTGTTCAATACCCAAGGGGTGGAAGTGTTCAGAGTTCAGCAGCACTTGCCCCAGACTTTGTAGAATCCAAGGGTACCAATGCAGCCCGGGGTTTTGTGCACGTGGAGGCCCAAACAATCTGTAGAAGAGTCTCAAAGGGGCCAAGGCCCAGTGAGACAACTGGTGGCTGTCCACAGCGGCATAGCAGGATACCAGCACGCCGTTCACCAGTATGGACCCATGCTGGGTAAGTGGAGCGTACAACCCTGTACTCCTCTTCTCCTTCACAAAGGTCACTACTGAGAGTCTTGTGTGCCAGTTTGCTTTGCCAGTCGATGTAAACACACACTGTCCTGGCCGAACGTCACTGGCAAAAACTGTCCTTGGACCTCCTCCGTGGCCCTGCGACGTGGAACCAAAACCAGCGCTTTCGTTCCACTTGTTCGGTCCACCAGCACAGTCTGAGATGAAGATCAGGTGAGCCGCTGTGAGGCTGATACTGAGTCCTGCATTTGTCCCAATAATGTAGAAGGTCTTTGTGATGTTGGGCTGGTGGTCCAGAAAGGACAAAACCGGACTGTAGAGAAGCTGGGCGTGGCCCTCTGCCGATGACGACGCCAAGACCCGATCACCAGGGAGGAGCTCACGCATCAGTTTGGTACCACCACCTTCAACGGTTACCTGAGCATCGCCAGGGAAGCAGCCGCCGGTTTTTGCTGCAACAGAGTGTTCTGCAGAAGGAAAAGAAGAAACGTTTTATTGCTGCATGTTTCTGCAGCTGAGTGAAGCAACAGCACAGCAGCGTTTGGCCTTCAAACTGCACCTGCGTGTTGTTCCAGGTCACTGAGTAATCTATAAAACAGGTGAGACTTTGACACTGACCAAAGAACTATTTTATCTCAGTAGACCAGCGGTGGATTGTTAACATAAAGAATGAAAAGAACATGACTCGAGTTTTAACTATATCTTCTCTTCTTTTTTTTCCTTTGCTTTTCTGTAGCACGCACTGATTTTAATTACTCCGCAGTAAAGTAAATACGGTAAATGTGGCAAATTTTCAAGTAAAGCATTTTCTCCTGTTTTTTTAGGCTACCGCGGTTCCTTTTTACAGTCAAAGCTGCCACAAAATTCCACAGCTGAACTGGTTGGCCCTTTAAGATGCAGCGAGAGCTAATGGATAACCAGCTGATTGCATCGCCACAGTCAAAGCACGGCCTGGGGTCAGGGAGGGAGGAGAGTACACAGACTCAGACCTGGTTCAAGATTCTACAGCAGGGGTTTAGATCTAATGTTGGGCGCATTCTCGTTGAGAGATCCTGCAGCCATGCTTGTAAACTCAAATCAGTTTGATATAAAACGAATAAAGTGGTTTAAATGTGTCTTGGTCAGAGAGCCTTGTCTTGAGTCCGTGCTAAGGCAGCCAAATATTTGCCCAAGGTGTGTGTGTCTTTCAGCTTGAGAGCTGCAGAAAAGGAGGGCTATGATAAGATTCAGATAAGAGATCTGAGAGAAACCTGCTGCAGGAAACAGCAAAAACAAAGGGAGAGTTAATCATCTCATAGCCTACTAACCTCGGTACGCTACCACAATGGCGTCTGGCATCAAATAACTGGTGGTACCAGACGGATTCCCAAAGTTTCACCAAAGTTAGGTTAGATGGAGGCAGAGCGCCGTGGCTTATTTTCTTCTAGTATAGTTTTTCTGGTGGTGTCTTAAAGTTAGAAAATGCTTTTTCTAACTGCTAAGAAGCCAATGCCTCGCTTTAGATTCAATAATCTGAAAGAGTACATTTGTTTGAACAAAATGTGCTTTACTCCCCCTGACTGGTGACTTTATGAGAGCACAGGTGAGCACAGATTGGCTCCCAAAAGGCATGACAAGGCAGCTTCATTTGCATAACACAGTTCTAATAGAAAGGCAATTCAAAGTTACAGAAGCAAGAGCAGCAATGGCTATGAACAAAGAAATGTAGATGTTAATTTCAGATTCAACAAACAGATTTAGTCAGATGGGTGGCAGTTACAGTGCAGAAAGTGCAGCATAAGAAACATGTATTCAAAGGCTGATGAATACATGAAGGTCAAAGAAATTCACCGAGTGGGAGCTGAATTAGGAAGCGACTCACCTCACAGGGTTTAGCATCATTTTAGGCAACGAAAGACACAAAAATAAGCAGCTTGAGCCATTTCTTACCTGACTTCACGCTGCAGTGGATGTGGGCTTTGGACTGATAGTAGACCCAGTCAAACCCGGCTTCCACAGCCAAACGGGCCAACATGGCGTACTTATTTCTGTCCCTGCAAGTAAGGAAACGTTTTTGTTTTCAGTGATTGTTTGTTGTAATTAACAGGAGTCCCTGGAAATGTCCTTTCAACAACGATTTGGAAGCACATCCGTGCCCTGTTTGCTTTCCTTTACTTCCCGTCTCACCCCATCACTGATAAGTTGTGTACACAGATTAAACTCGTGCTCGTTCATCACGAAGCTACCTGTCTGAGGTGGTGATGTCGACAGCACGGCCCTCGTAGTGCAGCGAGTCCTCTGAATGGTGACCGTCTTCGTCCCAGCCCTCAGTCACCCTCAGCTTCACACCTGGCCACATGTTCATCACGGAGATGGCCAGAGAGTTTAACTTGTCCTTACAGCGCTGAGAGAGGCAGAAAACAGAGGGTGTCACTGACAGATGGAGAAAGCGTCTCCTAAAAGGGTGCAGAGTTAGAGAGCTGAAAGTGTAAAGCTTGGTGGATTTTTAAAGAATTGGAAGGAAAACCAAGAAATAACTTCATGAGCAACAGGTAACACATTACAAAACACACTAAATATAAGCTGTCTCAGGTGAATGGCCAAAGTACACAAAGCTGAGATTGTGTTTCTTTGATGTGACTCCACACCCTCAGATACGTAAATGAGGCTTAAAGTCAAGATATTTGTTAAAATGCATTTATTTCAACTTGTTCAAACTCATAAGGTAAGGACAAGTCGTGCGTAAAGATACGAAAAACATGGTTGCGTAAAAACGTGCTAGGAATGTTTTTGGATGGGATTTAATGTATTCATCCAGGAGAGGGTGGGTTTCCGCGCTACACGTGACTGATCAAACAGAAAATGAGACAATGATTGGGTTCAGGTGAGAAGGCGGCAGCAGGAGCGTCAGGTAGAAACGTGCTGGTGGCGAAGCAAGGGTTAATGAAATCAATCACTTTGGTTTAACATTTAACTGACAGCAAACAGTCAGCAGAAGAATTGGAGGCAACAGCGACTCACTTCATGCAGCTCGGTGTAATTTGATCCTCTTAATGAGCACCGCTGATCTAAAAAGTTTATCTTTTTTTACGCAAAACCAAACAGAAGCGACGCGTCAGGTTTTGCGTGTCTTACTTGCGTCATGAGCCTGTCGGCGCCCGTGTCCTCCTCATCTTTAAAGATGATGTCAGTGTTGTAATTCGGTGTGAGTTCTTTGAAGCGCTCGGAGTTACGCGTGATTTTGCCCTCCGGTCGCCCGCTGGCTCCCAGCGTCTTCTCGGCCACGTTGGGGCTGAACTGCTTGTAGGCAAGCGGGATGAGCTTCTTCGGGGGCCGCCTCTTGCCGTATCCCCTCCCCGGACCGCAGCCCTCCGAGGCAGGTGCCAGGAGAAGGACCAAGGCACACAGAGAGGCTGGGAGAAGTAGCAGGGAGATCTGCATCGCCCCGGGGGGAGGGAGGACTCTCCCGGGGGAGAGAGATGACTTCAGAACCTCCCAGATTCAGTTTCCATTGTCCGTGACAGTTGCGACAGCGCGTCCGAACGGTTCGGATAAAAGACCAGCTCCCCGTCTCCACTCCGCACCATCAGGGAAACTAGAAAGTTTCTAAGTTGGAAAACTCCGCTCCCGCCGCCTTCAACAGTAAGTGCTCAGGCTGTAAATCCGTGTATTTAAACAAACAGGTTCAAAGTCGATGTGGTGGGTGTGAGAGTTAGAGAGAGGGAGAGGGAGAGCGGTCACTGATATCCAAATGTTGTGGTTTCTCTGCCTCCTTCTTGTGCGTTACAGTGTCCCATCAGCCTCTCCGTTGCTCCCTGCTTGATGCCCTCCCTGGACTGCGTCCTCCACATGCAACAGGCTGCAGCTTTCCAGCTGAATTGAAGGGAATTGAGTGATCCAAAACGATCTCTTGCAACTTCAGACCGCACCCTGCCAGCCCTCCTCCTCCTCTTCCTCCTCCTCCTCCTCTCCCTTTCTCCCTAAGTCCCTGCACTCTGCCACCTTCCATTATCCCCTCTCCTGGGTACAGGGTGCGCCGGAGAGGTCGGTCCGCACTCTGCTGCTGACTGACAGGAGAGCACGGAGACCGGAGCACAACTCCCATCGGTCTTTCTGTGCCCTTGACACGCTGATCAAGAGTTTATTTTCTTTGTTTGGGTTGTAAGTAGCAGACAATCCGAATCAATTAAACCAATCAATGTCCCAGTATTTCCTCCCAGCTGCATTCCAGTATCAAATTAGATCAAGAGGTAACTGTTGGGTGATTGACGAGACACCCAACTGTCCACTGACTCACAGCAGACACATATGAAGAGTTTTATAACACATATTCTTCATAAAATAAACCCCTAAGCAGGGAAATGGCTGCAAGTAACTGTAACACACACACACACACACGCACGCACGCACGCACGCACACACGCACGCACGCACGCACGCACGCACGCACGCACGCACGCACACACACACACACACACACACACACACACACACACACACACACACACACACACACACACACACACACACACACACACACACACACACACACACACACACACACACACACACCAGTAAACTCAGCCCCTCCAAATTAGCTCTTCAAATATTTGCCGGCAGAAAATCGGTGGTCTCACCACTGTTCAGCAGGGCTACCCCCTTTTGAATGAATTGAACTGTGCAGACCTGAGCTTTTTCCATTTATTATTTGCGAGCGCAAACACCATCAGGTATTTTTTGCTTCATTGCTGCTTTTCATGTATCTCAGTGGAACAGAGAAAGCTAAAGAGAAGGATTCCCAAACAGCAAACAGCCATCCGTAGCCATGTTGACTCTGCAGCCGAAATAGAACACCTCCGGACACTTGGGTAAATTTATTGAAACTTTCCTGCTCCGAAACACACAAACAAGTCAGAAGGAGTGGAGTTTTGTCACAGAGACCCTAAAGATGAGGTCGGTAAAGCCTTGCAGGATCGCAAACAGGGATCGTCTCTTTGCTTTTATAATAAATAAAATTAACAGCATGTATGTAAACATTTGGAGATGCGCCACAGACATCTGGTGTTTTTTCAATAGATAGGGTTTATGAGGGCAAATACACGATTTGTTTGGCTTGTTTAGAGCTAACTTGGCGGTTAATTTCAAGATCAGTGTCACTTTCGTGTTAGTTCACTCCGTAAGAAGCCAGTTTCTGTCCAAAGGTTACATAATCTGCCCATCATCATCTCAGCAATCAACGCGGCTTATCTCAATTGTTAAATCGAACACTTTGAACTTAGCATAAATCTCCCATGATTCCCCCGACTGTCCTTGAATTTGATGGATTTAACAAAAAGTCGTTTAGGATTATCAGCCTCTTGTAAATAACATTTATTGACAATTGGTGGAATTTTCTGATCAAATAAAAATGGCATCAATTTGGCTAGTGTCCCGTCACTTTTAGCACTCCATCATAAGATGTTGTGATGAGTACTAAAACTCCCCGAAAGGAAAATCAAAAACAAACACCAGGAAGAGAAAATATCTGTCAAAAATAGGAGTCAGGAAAAGAGGATCAGATGACGAGACCGATAAAACAAGGACAATATATTCTGGGTGGGCAGATTAGGGAGCCCGAGTCACGCCCATCTACTTCCGGGCTGTGGGTCCCTGGAAGAACAAAAAAATGAATGCAGGTCAGTGATGCTAAAAATGCTATTTTTTAAATTCTGCTTACATGTGCCATAGACTATATGATGTCCGTGAATTTTAAAGACACGTTTTGATTCCAAGAAAGTGCTTATTTTCAAACGGGGGGACCTTTATTTTAGATTTTGTGTGAAAATAAGTCCAGAACTACAAATGTACTTCACAAAAGTGATGTTGTTGAACCAGACACAGAGAAAAACAGAGGGGAAAGGCTGTAAGTTCAGCGAACTTCAAATCCTTCTTTCAGGAGGAAAGAACCACAATAAATCTGGCCATTTGGTATGTAGCAGCTATGCTAGGGAAGAGGAGACTGTGTGGTGACGTCATGCAAGTGACAAACTTTTGCGAGCTGATAAATCTCAAAGTACGTGACTGGCATGGTCGAAACACCCATCATTACTTTTCATTTAAATAGAAGTATAACATATGTGCAATTCAGGGCGCAAGGCAAAGTGGATTAGAAAATAGCTCTTTTAGCCCCGCTGATTTGCATTTGTTTTTTCATTCTTCCACGGACCCATGAGCCGACCGGAATGGGAGGAGACTTAGGCTCCCTATAGACCCTTTTACTGCCTACGTCATCAAAAGTTGCGCGCGCAGCCTGGCAACGAGAGTGAAGGCTTCCTCATTCACGCTCGATACTAAAACAGCGTTTTAAACCCTTTGTTTTGAAGTTCTGAGCACATAAAAATGTCGGGTTGTTGCGTGTATGGATGCCAGAATCGCTTCTCTTCAAGCAGTGGACTGAAACTTTACAGAATTCCGAAGGGAGCACATCCGTTTCAACAAAATCGGAGGCGTCTGTGGCTGCAGGCCATCAAAAGGGTTGATGAAAACGACTGAAAACACGATCCGAAATGCTCGAGTTTGTAGCGCCCATTTTATATCAGGTAAGGTAATTATGTACTAAGATTACACCAGAAAGCTGGTTAACGCGTGTTCTATTAAATAAAGTAAGTTGCGTTTGCTGGTTTGCTTTTAAGCAGTCTATTTATTTACAGGCGAGGTGTCATTGGACTCCTTGAGTCGTGATTTTGTTATTTAATTAAGAAATAATACATTCAATGTGCAACCACAAACCAGAACTTAGATTACACTTGTCATTCGTTACATGCCTCTTAGTGTGACACTGCTCCTCCTAACAGTTTCGGAAGCAGCTGGGAGCTGTATGCAAAACTTCTTCGGTTTGTGGAAGCTGATCTTCTTCAGTTCTCCGGGAGTCTGTTGCCATGCGTTAAAGTGAGTTTAATAATATAACATTCAAGATTTGCCGGTGATAACCCCGCAGTGTAGCTTGATAAAGCCTGAAACAACGCCATTCTCTGTTGCCAAGCTGCTCGCGCATTCTCGCTGACGTCATATTGTTTACAAACATTAAAAGGGTCTATAGCAGGTGTGAAGAAAAGACTCAAAGGAATTGTGCTGAACAAGTAAAGCAGCAGCAAAACTGACTTAAGTGATAAAACATTTAACGGAATGATCAGGAGAATAAACCTCAAACAGAAACCAAGTTTGGGGAGTTTTAATTGAAGTTTTTGAATGCAACAAAGACCAAACAAATTTGACTCTTGTATTTGTAGGTCCCTAAAGCCATAAACGCTCTATAGCAGGGTTGAATAAAGTATTCATTATCAAGTTAAAAGGTCTCACTGGCCACAAAACCTTTTTCTTTTATTAAAAAAAAAAAAGAAAAATAATTTTATTGTGATTTATTTTTTTCATTCTGCCCAAAAATATCTCAAATAGATGCAAATGTGAACATGGAAATATTAAAATGTTGATCAACAGACTGCTGGAGAGACACAATTTCCTGATTCCACACCCTCACGTTAAATCCCCCAATTCTAGAAATGCAAGTGGGAGTCACGGAAAATCAATTTGAGATCCCCAAATGGCCCCGCGCTGCACTCTGGACATGCCTGCTCTGGGGCAGTGAAGGCAGACTGAAAGATGGGCTCAAGTGCTAAATACCAGTGTTAAAAATTTTGAGGCATTTAAAACATGCTTAGCTACTTTTTTTGGTATTGGCTTATGTGCTAATATGCTTTAATTACGTTTACACAAGCACATCTTCTCTCTATGATAGTGTAAACATTTTGCAATTGTGTGTGTGTGTGTGTGTGTGTGTGCGTGTGTGTGTGTGTGTGTGTGTGCGTGTGTGTGTGTGTGTGTGTGTGTGTCATCCTTCCTTTGAAGATCATAAATACAGGAGTGGCTCCAGCCAGGCCTGTTGCCTGTTCAGCATGGTTGTCTTCAATGCTTTAGAAGTGGTCACATGTTCCCATCCATCCGTCTCTCCTCAAACCCATCCGTCTTTTACTTACTTTTTGCCCTTGAAAGAGAACAGGACCTTTCAAGAAAACAAAATTCTGATCAGATCTAACCAAAGAGAAGCCCGATCTCCAACTGGAATGCTCATCAGAAACTTTCAATTTCCCACTTTTACACTCTTTTATCTCTGTTCTGGCGTTTAGGTAGCTTAAATGCTGATATATCTGGTCAGATACAAAAGCACGTGTATGCAAGACCATAAACGTATAAGGAAAAACAGATATTTTCTAGCATGTGCAGAAAGTACACACTCGCATGCTCACAGATGCACACGCACACACACACACACACACACACACAGCAGGCCAGTCGACAAGCCAACCAAGCATCAGGCCCTCGCTCATTGATGTTTGTCAAAGTTATTAATTTTCTCTGTGAAATAAGAGGCCCTGGTGGCAGGACAGAGAGAGATGGGTGCCAGCCCCAGAATCTCCCTCCTCTTTCATCTATTGACACGGAGGCTCTAAAAGTCCGCAGCCTTCACATGGGCATCGGGGTTACCCACGCATACCCAGCACCCTAACCAACAAAGAGTCTGGGCCCAGCAAAAGGAGGAAGACACAGATGAAAGAAAATTCTTGGAAGATGAAAAGAAAGAGATGTGAAAATGATCATATGGGAAAAACGTAATGAGAGATGAAAACTGTAAAAAAAAAGAGCGGTGAGAAAAACTTGCAGTGCCTTGGCATGAATGGTGCACAAATCAATGTAAATTGAAAAGCACATTTTCAAAGCTTGTTTATTTATTCACAGAAATAAAAAAAAATTATACAGTGTAAAAAATGAAATGTTGAATTAGCTTAACCAAGTTATTTCGAATGGTTCCACTAAACGTAGTTGCATAAATGTAAAGAAGAAACTATCTTTTATATACAGGTCCTTCTAAAAAAGTTGCATATTGTGATGAAGTTCATTATCTTCTGTAATGCACTGATAAACATTAGACTTTCATATATATTAGATTCATTACACACAACTGAAGTAGTTCAAGCCTTTTATTGTTTCATGAAAACCCAAAATTCCTATCTCAAAAAATTAGCATATTTCATCCGACCAATAAAAGAAAATTGTTTTTAATACAAAAAAAGTCAACCTTCAAATAATTATGTTCAGTTATGCACTCAATACTTGGTCGGGAATCCTGTTGCAGAAATGACTGCTTCAGTGCAGCGTGGTATGGAGGCAATCAGCCTGTGGCACTGCTGAGGTGTTATGGAGGCCCAAGATGTTTCGATAGCGGCCTTAAGCTCATCCAGAGTGTTAGGTCTTGCGTCTCTCAGCTTTCACTTCACAATATCCCACAGATTCTCTACGGGGTTCAGGTCAGGAGCGTTGGCAGACCAATTGAGCACAGTAATACCGTGGTCAGTAAACCATTTACCAGTGGTTTTGGCACTGTGAGCAGGTGTCAGATCGTGCTGAAAAAGGAAATCTTCATCTCCATAAAGCTTGTCAGTAGATGGAAGCATGAAGTGCTCCAAAATCTCCTGATAGCTAGCTGCATTGACCCTGCCCTTGATAAAACACAGTGGACCAACACCAGCAGCTGACATGGCACCCCAGACCATCACTGACTGTGGGTACTTGACACTGGACTTCAGGCATTTTGGCATTTCCCTCTGCCCAGTCTTCCTCCAGACTCTGGCACTTGATTTCCGAATGACCTGCAAAATTTGCTTTCATCTGAAAAAAGTACTTTGGACCACTGAGCAACAGTCCAGTGCTGCTTCTCTGTAGCCCAGGTCAGGCGCTTCTGTCACTGTTTCTGGTTCAAAAGTGGCTTGACCTGGGGAATGCGGCACCTGTAGCCCATTTCCTGCACACGCCTGTACGCGGTGGCTCTGGATGTTTCTACTCCAGACTCAGTCCACTGCTTCCGCAGGTCCCCCAAGGTCTGGAATCGGTCCTTCTCCACAATCTTCCTCAGGGTCCGGTCACCTCTTCTGGTTGTGCAGCGTTTTCTGCCACACTTTTTCCTTCCCACAGACTTCCCACTGAGGTGCCTTGATACAGCACTCTGGGAACAGCCTATTCATTCAGAAATGTCTTTCTGTGTCTTACCCTCTTGCTTGAGGGTGTCAATGATGGCCTTGTGGACAGCAGTCAGGTCGGCAGTCTTACCCATGATTGCGGTCTTGAGTAATGAACCAGGTTGGGAGTTTTTAAAAGTCTCAGGAATCTTTTGCAGGTGTTTAGAGTTAATTAGTTGATTCAGATGGTTAGGTTAATAACTCATTTAGAGAACCTTTTCATGATATGCTAATTTTTTGAGATGGGAATTTTGGGTTTTCATGAGCTGTACGCCAAAATCATCAATATTAGAAACAATAAAAGGCTTGAACTACTTCAGTTGTGTGTAATGAATCTAATATATGTGAAAGTCTAATGTTTATCAGTACATTA